AAAGTTAACCTCTCTTCTTTATAGCTGTTCTCTGCTGAAAACGGTTAAGAAACTGCCTTCACGAAAACCAGCTATTGTCTCAGGATTTTTTGGCAGCTGCATCTTTCAAAGATAAAATCTACAGCTCTAAAGGACAAAGTTCAGAAAAAATGTCCTGCCACTGATATGTGTATGAAGGCATTTAGCATTCATGTTTCCTGGGTGCTGATGCTTAAGGAAAAACTTTTTAACAAAGCTCCCTGAGCTGCTGTATAAACCCTACTATATGGCTATACATTTTCTATTAACCTTCTAAATGTGGCAGACAGAAAATGTAAACCAGGTAGTTTAACTGTTGAAAATCCAGCCATATCTATCAGAAACAGCCTGGTTGCCAGACAGTCAACAGTGAAAAAAAGTCAGACTTAAAAAAAAATATTTTGATCAGAGTTTCTTCATTGACAAAGGATAAATTCTAGCACATACATACCTAAGTACTGGGCTGTTCTTATCCCCCTCTTAAGTCAAATTCCAAGCTTTCCTCTATACCCTGCATGGATAAATTTCTAATCTCTCTTCTTTATAGCAGTTCTCTGCTGAAAGTGGTTAAGAAACTGCCTTCAGGAAACCCAGCTATTGGCTCAGGATATTTTTGGCAGCTGGATCTAGTACAAACAAGTTGACCCTAATTGCCTGGACCTGTAAGTCGTCACCTCCCATGGAGTATTACGTGCCCATGCCCCATCAGTTCCTCATCCCTCACGTCCACTGACATACCTGTCTTTACATTTGGGGGAGACGGGGGAGAATCACAGATACCATGCTATATTTGTCCAGATTTGGTTATCTACGAGAAAAAAGTTATCAAGGCCAAAGGAGTAACTCTGCTTCTAGAATTCACTCTGGTCTGTAGAAAAAACTTGAGAGCAAACACACTCACAGCAATGCAACAATTCAAGGGCTGTAAAATTCTCTTAAATATAACAGAAGCATTAGTTACTAAACAATCATACATCACTATGACTCCCAGCATGCCGCTACTACTGAAAAAACCCCACAAGTTCATCAGAAGTAGTAAATCAGATAGAATGCTTAAAAATCCACTCCAGAAATACTCACTACAGAAGCACACTTCTTTTTTATTATTTCCTATGAACCTATATATTATCAACCACTATCTATTAAAATTATGCAGGAAAGTTAAGAAATAGGTATGAAATTCAGAAGAGCTAAGCTTTGGGTCAGAACAAAACCCAAACTTTTTCAAATGATGGAACCAGAAACAATTAGAAATTATCAGAGATGAAAGAGTTTAAGAGTGCATGGTACTTCTTCATTTGGGAGGAAAGCAAAAAGGACTAATAAAAACGAGGTTAAAAAATGCTGTTTATTTTTATTTTTAAACCATTCAAAGAAAAAAACCTCAGGAAAACTTTTCATTCTCATTCCATTAGATGTTTACAAGAAAAAAAAACCAAGAAACTCTATACAAGACAGAAAAATACACAGGTATAGTCCTGTTTTACTAACAAATACCTTGTGTACTGACACAAAATTAACTAAAAATAGACTAGTTAGTTAGTCGTCTCTGCAGGAACAAATAGTGACAGACAGCATGTGCAGATTTAACCATGGACTCTTCTCCACAACTCCTACAGGAAATTCCATCTTATACGGCCTCGACTGAGTCTAAACATACCTGCTCAAGAGAAAAGCACACTGGTGTGGCAGTGTAAGTATGTTCATTGTGCCTGTACCTCTCTGGCCCAGCTCTGCACAGTACTTAAGCAAGTGTACCTAACTTTAGGCAGATGAGTCACTAATGCCTAAAAATAGGTTTCGAAGTACTTACAGGCTTTGCTGAAATACAGCTTTACTAGATAATGTTACAGGCCAACCACTGAGCCAGTGTTTTTCCACAAGACTGGTAAGCAAATGCTAATATAAAGGGACATCACTAAAGTCACAACCTAAAGCTTCAATATTCTGTTTCACAGAACACATCCCTAAAGAATAAGTTTGAGACAATAGATTAAGCAAACTCTGGATGAAAAAAAATAAACATTTTGAATTATTTACTTACTATATTCAGGCCAAGTATTAGGATTTCTAATGGTACAACACTGACGTTTGCTCTCTTTAAAGGTAAAATCTATTGTGCTAAAGGACCAAGTTCAGAAAAATATCCTGCCACTGATATGTATATGAAGGCATTTAGCATTCATATTTCTTGGGTGCTGATGCATAAGGAAAAACTTTTCAACAAAGCTCCCTGAGCTGCTGTATTATTCCCACTATATGGCTATACATTTTCTACTAACCTTCTAAATGTGACACCCAGAGGAAAACAATCACTGAGAGATTCATTGTACTGCATTGGAGTTAAGTTTTCAGACACAGGCATTTCCTTTATGGATGTATTACACCCCTTTAAAAGTTACTAATTTACACCAGCAGGAACAACAGCTACACTAGAATACTTAAACCTATAGGGGCATAAGGAGCAAAGCTCAAGTATACATTTTGTGAAAACAACCCTAACACAAACAGCTGTGATTTCAATTTTCAAATCAATTAAGTAAAAAAACTGTATGCAGAAGCAACCTCTGAAGTATTCCTATCCCAAAGACTGCTTTCTCTGAGAAGAAAAACCTCCAAGTTTAAAAAAAGTGAAGCAGAACTATTAGATTGAAAGAAATACCAACATTCATTTAGAGTACTTTAAAGCTCCTGAACATTGTAACCTCAGTATTCACAACTCTCCAAATCACTGCCTGCCTGACCATTAATTCTTCATAGTATAAGCTGGTAATTTCTAAGCATTCCATTTCTAATTATCTGATGTTAGAAACTTCAGAGATATAACTGGAAGTTATCACTCTTCTCCTAAATATATGTACTATGCTTTATTCTTTAGCTGATAAATACCATTTACAAACTTGGTTTCAGATTGATCTCTTCAGAAGCACGTGAGATCAAAACTAAAAGCACTTATTATACATTCTAGGTTGACGTTCAGCTCCCATTCTCCACT